AAATGGGGTGGGAGAGTTGCATGGAATATCCTGGAAAAGGGCATGATGCACTGGGTGGCCAGAACTCTGAACAGGAACATTCCATTCTGCAACATTTTGTTGCAGGTCTTACTTGTACTTCTTTTACTAGATATGGGAGCATTAGAATAGCTCTCTGTGCACCAAATTCTGTACATTATACACCAGATAATATCCCTTTAAAAAGATACAGTGTTTAAAATAAACCAATTAGAAAGTAAGCTCTTACAAGGCTCCTTGCTGCTTTCCTTGTCAATTAGTTAATTTCTTTCCTTTGACAAGTCAGCTCTGCAAGCTTATCTTCATCACCTTAGAAAGAAATCAAAGGAAAAACAATCAGCTACAGCAGTCTGTCATTTTGTGTTTCCCATGGAGATAATTTAACTATAACACAGTGACATTGAACATTGATAGGAAAATGACAGGCCATGATTAAAGTTTTGTCCTAGATGAAATGAATGTCTGGCAGATGAAAAGAATACATAAAACCCCAACCTAATTCCCATCCCTGACTCTTGCTCAAATGCTTTTTTATGACTGTTATTGCCTAGTATTATGTGGTATGTTGTTTTTAATAACCATAATCAAACATCCATTATTGGTTTTCAGCAATAGAAAAATTGTTCTTTCCCCTATATTTTCTCAAACGGCCTTACAGAGTATAAAGAGTGGTTACATAATTTGTACTCTCACATAAAATACAAGGAGTTTGCTCTGCCCTCAAGCAAGATATTGATGTCAGGGTGTGTGTCCCCCTTCTTTTAAGGGAAAGAGAAAGGAATAATTTTGTCATGCTATTTTTAGAGTTCAGTGTAAATTTCAGCAATTAGGCATTGTATTCTGTGGGTGCAGATGTAATTGTTTATTCTAGGCCGTGAAACTGAAGTAAAGGAAGAAGGCATGGTCAGACAACCAATATACATTTTCAAAGCAATATACGTAAACAATTTCTTTTACAATAAAGCATTGTTTTCAAATAGCTTTGTTGAATCCGTGTGCGGATTCTGCTACTTACATGCATGTGAGAGCAACAGATTTTGTTGACATGTTGAAATAGCTCATACTGATCCTAAGTGTGTTGCCCCCATCTGTGCAAAGTGTTTCTCCACTAGTGGTTCCATTCACTTTAATGGAAATGGCAGCTCTGGTCAAGCTTCCTTTTGTTGTTCCCTCCACTGAAGTGTATATGGAGTGAGTGGAGAACCTCCACATAAGCCATGGAGGCACAGAAGGGGACTGCAATATGATGACTGAATGAAACAACTGTTCTGATGCATCAGCCAAGCACTCCTTGGCACAAAAGCTTTCCTTCTTGTTCTAGAAGAAGAAGAAATGATGTGTACATTTGAGAATGTCTGCTTGTGAATTGGTTCTAAAGTGTGTTATTCTGCAGAAGCAATACTTGTTAATTTCAATGGAGCTGACTCAGTGTGGGCACCACTTGCACAGCCCTAAATCTGTCCTTGGGTAGTGTGTGTGTGTGTGTGTGTGTGTGTGTGTGTGTGTTCCTTCTCAAGAATGTTTCTGATTGTAGCCTATTTAATTTCTCACTTCCTATTGCTTCATCACCACCACCACCATCATTATTTAATTTGTATGTAGCCTTTCCATAATTAAAACCATACTCAAGGCAATTTAGAACATGCAAATATTTACATAATATTTACCATCTGGGCTGTGATACCACCCTTGAATCTCTGAGGCAAAGGCTCTGGGACATATCACATAGTGATCTCCGATCTCAATCTCATGTTATCTGTGGACCATTAGCAGTAGGAATTCACTACGGGTTCGAGTTTCAGACACCTGCATATCTTATGATCAAGCTAGGGAACTATTGATTAAACCACTACAGTGGTACCTCGGGTTACATACGCTTCAGGTTATAGACTCTGCTAGCCCAGAAATAATACCTCGGGTTAAGAAGTTTGCTTCAGGATGAGAACAGAAATCGTGCTCCAGCGGTGTGGCAGCAGCAGGAGGCCCCATTAGCTAAAGTGGTGCTTCAGGTTAAGAACAGTTTCAGGTTAAGTATGGACCTCCGGAACGAATTAAGTGCTTAACCCGAGGTACCACTGTATTGGCAAATCGGCCGGGTCAATCTGAAGCCTACTATATCAAATATCTTCTGGACGACAAGTCCAATGATATCACATTGGCCGTGGCAAAGTTTCTTTCAGTAGTCATACGAATCAAAGATTAACATACCCATGACTAAACAAATAATGCTTCGGTCTTCCTTCCCTGGGAGGTTGTCTGTATGAATCTGTATTTAATTCTGAATCCATGTTATGGGTTGTTGGACCGCAATAAAGATTATTATTAATACAGTATAACAAAAGTAGTCAAAAATAATAAATAAATCACATCAAAAAGTACACAACCATAACTGAACGATTTTCACACAAATCATAAGATCTAAAAACAATGATATAAAATAACAGCCCCCCCCAACAGTACCCCAAACAATACTTCAACCCAAGAGTCTGTTCAGCAGCCTCAGCTTTTGTAGCTGGAGTCGGTCAAGGCCCTGCTCTCCCAGGCAAGGTGGAATATTCCAGCAATGCTAGGAGCAGCTCTTCCAGGACTCAGAGCCAATTGACTTCTATGGCAGAAAAACGCATAAACATGCATAGGGCTGGATACTTATCTACTTGTATGATATTAATGACTGTAGACATTTGGGATAGGGAACATGGAAATCAATTATGCAATAGAGAAATGAAAGCTAAATTTTTAAAAAGTTAGATTATGTAAAAGCAAGGTCCATAAAATTTCCTCTTTGAAAGATTTCTAAGTGTCAGAAGATGGCTACTGTAACATGAGCATGCTAGTGTTAAATTCTCAAAGAAAGTAGGAGTTAAATGTTGAACTTACTTTAAATTCCAGTTATTACACTTTTAGTGTAATCTCTGGCCTTTACTGACCCACAGACTAAAGCAGATTATAGTAACCATAAAACTAGTAACACACAGCAAGAGTTGCATTTTGTTTACCAGTTACATACAATTTTATCAACTAATTTGTCCCAGAAATGCTGAGGCATACCTTCGAAAATCAATATTTAATTGTACAGCCGTTATGAAATACATTTATAACAATAGTATTGTGCAGGGTTTTTTGACTTCCAAAATTAATCTCATTATACTAAAGAATATGCTGGGTTAATCTGTTTCCCCCCACTGCTGTATACTTTCGTACCACATATACATATACATTTATATCACAAAGCTTTTTACAAGATGATAAAAGAATCCAATTAAAAGTTCTGACAAGTAAACCATTTTTAAGACAAATGCATGCTGTATAAATTAGATATAATCATCAAAGCCAATTATGAAGCACAATAAAATGTGTTTTGATGCACTGCTTTTCATTTTAATATAACTTTCAATTTTTTAAATTTGAAATATTTAAACTATAAGGAATATTGCAGGACAAATAGATGCTCTGGCAAGAATTTTGCTAAAAATAATAAATCATATAATGGAAGAAACCTGTACAATAGATTAGACAGCACCAACATCATGCATAAAGCAGGATTTTCTGTGCATATCTTGCATCCCTATTTGCCGCATGTATGCACCTCTCACGCACCTGCTCTTGTGAATTTACTTTCATCAACCAGTCTGATCAGCATGTCAAATAATAGTGAGCAAAGTTTGATGCAAATAACATTTCACTATTGGAAAAGTTGAATCTCCTTTTAGTTATTAGCCGATCTGTCAAAATAACTAAGCATCTATGCTCCATTTTACAAGGGAAGTTTATACAAAAAGCTTCACATAGAAGCCTAGAAGGCTTCCTTAAATTGAATCAGACCATGGGTCTATCTAGCTCAGTGTTATTTTTGCTGACTGGCTGTAGCCTTCCAGGATTTCAGAAAGGGGTCCGAGTTAAATATTTAAGTATTGATCAGCTAGAATATAGACAACTAATAAGGGACTCTGCTCAATAATGTCCTCATTTCTGTGATCTCACTGGGATTAAGTCAGTGATTTGGAGAGCTCAAGCTGCATACCAACTTTAAATGAAGGGCCTTACAGACTCACAGTAGCAATGCAGTGGTTCTTTTTCTAAACCAGAGTTACTCAACACAGGCAAACCCAAAATAGTATCATCTGAATTCTTCTTGGGGACATATGTTTATTTATATCTGCTTCATATCAGAAAAAAGAATTGTACTAAAGAATTGAGAATTACTAAGCCATATAATCAGCATATCCCAAAAGAAAATAAAGCTTAAACCAAGTGTTGGATTGAAACATAAAATTGTGTTCCTTGGTTTTAAAGCACTTTGTGTTCATCACAGGTTCAATGTGAGGAAATTAAATTATGCTATAAATAGCAAGTTTGGGCTGCAATCTCATGTACTTCTAAGCTTCCCTAATTCCTGAGTCTGCTGTCCAATGACTCCATGGAGCCATGGAGCCAGAAATCTATGGTATTTTTACAGACACAACTGTGCACAGAACTGCCTAATCCTGCAGATACAGTGTGCACAGAGGGATTCCAGTGTGCACATAGAGCTCTATACAAGCAGGGACTGGCCCATGCTTTGCATACATACCCCAAGACTGAAGTGAAAGACCCTGCTTCTGTGTATCACTGGACCACCTCCATTGAGTAGGCAGGAAGAAATTGAATTGGGCCATTTTAGACTACTGTGCAGCTTGATTGGCTACTGTGAATGAATGAGACACAGAATTCTCAAGATAGCTGTAGATTCTGGAGGACAAGCCAGAACCTCCACAACCTAACAAGCAGCAGAGAACATCATCCTATTGCAGGGTTCCCCTTGACATCTATCAGTTACTATTTTTTAAAAAAAAGAAATCTGCCAAACTGGTTTTTGAGAACTATTATTTTATTTTATCTTGGTAAAAATACAAAACAAAACAAGAGATTCCCAAAGCATTACATAAGAGATGAACTCTTGTCTCCGAACAAAGTTCTTATTTTCTTTCTGGCTTTTATTTCAGCTGTGGGAGCCAGCTTCTTGAAAGAGTGTGGGAAGTTGACTTAGAGGCCTGTCAACTGTTGATCCGAGGGTTTCAGCTGAAAGAAGGTGGTTGTTGTGTTTCCGAGGGCGAAGAGAGCCAAACAGATGAAGTGGAGGATACTGCCGATGCCTCTTTGAGCACCAACCGGGAACAATCAAAACACTTTCCAGTTCAAGATTCCAAGTGGAGTACTCTCCAGCGCCCTGTTATCCAAAGCAAACACCAGAGTACACACTGGGAACTGAAAGAGGTATCATGTTGGTTTTTTGCTCTGTTTGCTTTTCAGTTTGTTTTCCACTGATGTCATTCTTTTCGTTTTTTGACAGGAGTTTCACTTGGGCTTAAATGTTAGCAGCTCTGGTAAAGAGAAATGTATGCTTGGAGTCTGATGATGAAGCCCAAAGGGACTGTGTCGCACATTACCAGTCTCCTGCATGGAAGATCACAGTGCATGGGACAATTCTACTAACCAGTAACCAGTTCCATGTGTTGAGATTTACCAAAGATAGGAAGCAGCTTCAGTGTAGGAGTTAAGAAGTGGTCCTTAGGGCCCAAAACTACACATGACAATGATAATTTTCCTTGAATGAATGCAGAAATAGCCAGCAGAGTCCCCCACACCACCCCCAAGCTGGGATCCTGGGGTGTGAAATATGGAGGCTTGAGCTCTTTGCCTCCACTGCAGTCCTGATCCCGATTGGAGACCCTGCCCCTGCACTTTGCATGGGGGAGGAAACTTCTCAGTGAAGTGAATGCAAGTCATTTTTGGCCCATGAAAACTGTGGGTGTTGGAGGTCCAGTCAGGGACTGCAACAGAAGAGGCGATAAATCCTCCCTATTTCTTAACCATATCTGGATTTCACTCCCCCAAAACACAGTGCCTATTTCTGTAAGAAAAATAGAAATACAAAAAGTAGGATGGACAAAACTGACTGTTTCAGTTTCTCGCATTCTCATTTTTTCCAATCTTAAGTTTAGTTCTCCATACTTCTGCATTAATTTGTGATTGTTAATTTTTTAAAAAAGTCATCATGAAAATCCATCAGCATTTCAATGCATATTTCTTCTAATATAAACAATTTTGCAATGCAATTTAGCCTAAAACAACAGAAGTTTGTTTGTGATTTTTAATAATCTACACATTTTATGAATACTACTCTCCAGTAGTATTTGTTCACCTTGCTTGACAAGAGAAATTCATTTCAAAACTTGGAGAAGTGTGGAAGACTAGGTTTAAGTTCTCATTTTGAAAAGTTCAAATTAGGCAGGTTCACCTAGAACAGGCTTCCTCAACCTCGGCCCTCCAGATGTTTTGAGACTACAATTCCCATCATCCCTGACTACCGATCCTGCTATCTAGGGATCATGGGAGTTGTAGACAAAAAAACATTTGGAGTGCCGAGGTTGAGGAAGCCTGACCTAGAACGTACCTCCTTTATCCTATATTAGTATCAGCACTTTCCCTCTTTTCCACCTACTTGCCTGTGTGTTTGTGTGAATATGTTAAACCCCACATCTAGTAAATGGAGAAAATGCAGAAAATCATAATGGTTATAAATGAATCTGTTTATGTCCCCTTGACACTCTGATGCATGCATAAGACTTAATTTGAGCCAGGCTGGCTGGTTCTTTATCATGAGAACTATTCAATCTCCTTTGGCAAGGCACGCCATCTGAGGCCTAAACATTAGTCCTCAGCCATGCAGGCGGGGGCGGGGGGGGGCGGGGAATCTGACCTTGCAGTTCTGTGATGGGAGAGAATTGTGAAAGGCAGAGCTAAAACGTCTAAAACCAGTGCACAAAGCAGAGCTCAGAAAGCCCTTCATCTAGCAAGCCTTCTGTGACACCCCAACTCCCAAATAACCAAAGGCAGAAAACATTGTCAGTGTGAGAGACAGCACAAAATAAGCAATGGTGGCTACAGCAAGAGGATCAAGGACCACGAGGTTCTCATTGCCTATAGTTCCTAACCTTCAAAAAAGCAGGTGAGGGAAGAAAGCTAATATACCTGATTCCAGTGCCAAGCACAGAAGATTGTGACCACTTTCTCAGTGCTGAATAGAAGAATTCTCAAGAAGTACATCTTTCTCATTAATCTTTCCACTCCATGAAGTGGAAGTCCCAAAGCAGTCCATCATTCCTGGCTGTGGCGAATATGCTTTCTTTGTATTTGGTCATACACCACTTACTATTTCTTTGCAGCCACACTCTCCTTTCAAAGATGGATTCTGTGGAGCTGCAGCATTTCATTTTATGGTGTCTCATGAAGCTAGAGGCCATACATAACCTGCATTCTACTGGGGAACATTTGTGTGCCCTGATAGTATGAGTCCTCTAAGTACCACTTCTTTCAAGCTATAGTCTGAATCTATATTATGCTTCATCCCCTAGTAAGGTGGACCTCAACTTACTTTTTCTGCACAGCAACAGTTCCTTGAATGACACTAAAAGCTCAGGGAGGCCTGAAACATGTTCCAGGTACTAGTTCAATACTGTTTTGTTCCACAGTCCTCTGTGGTTTGTTAGTATCAAACAGAAAGGGAATGATAACCCAGGACAGTTGAAATTGCCTATTTATCTGTGGAAGTATGTGATGGAGTACTGATTTCAGCATTCTAGATTCTGCCTGCCTTTGCAGTAGCTGTTAGCGCCACGGGCAAAAAACATGCACCCATGTATGCTGCATTATCATTAATGGCATTCTAAGAGGCAAGTATTTAGAATCAGATTTTCAAATCACTGTGGAAACCGATGATCACAATCTTATCTATCTGATTTGATTCTGTGAGGATTCTGCAGTGTCTTTGTATATTGATAAGAATGGGTAGGAGCGAAAAGGAAACTTCCTCTGTTTTGAGCCTATAGGGTTTATTAGGTTGATATCCAATGATGCACATCGGCACTTTTGCTTTCTCTTTTCCCCTTCCAGCCTTCTGTGCTCCGGCAGTAGCATGCAAAAATTTGTTAAGGAAGATATTGGGAACTGATTAACATTACATCAAGTGATAGAAGTTAGCTGTTCTTTAATTTAGTACTTTAATTATACTTCCAATGACTACTTAATATCCTTTCAATTTCCAGATGTTTACTTCATTACCTGGACCAAACATTGTAAACTGGAAGCTATTTTCAGGGAAGACAGTTTTAATTGAGGTTTTCTCATGTAAAATTAGTTTTCCATTCAGCTTTGATTAAAATTTAATCTTCCTTTCTCGGAGAAGATTGATCACGAAAAGAAACATATTCTACTTTATATATAATTTGATAATGGACCTAATATATTGTACAAGCCAATGCCTATTGTTCCTAGCTCTTTTAGGATACTGGCTGTTACATTTATATTAATTTATTGTCTTTATATGCCACCTAGAATATATTTTATTCCTACTTGGAAAGCTTGTAACTTTCTATTGTGGGTGCTGTACTAATGAGTGATATCCAACATTAGTCATACTCAGAGTAGATATATTAAGATGAATGCATATACCTAAATCCTTGGATTTCAATGGGTCCACTGTGAGCATGGCTTACGGTAGTTGGCTATCACCCAGTTGCTTTAACTTTCTATGGGAATGTATAAATTTATTGTGTAGCATTTGTCCCATATCAGTCTATTTACTTGCACAGACCATAATCCTTTTAGTTTCACTTGTATTGAATGTTCAGTATTACTCATATTTCTATTCCATTTTCCTCTAGCTTATCTAAAACGTAATTACATTATACGTAATGTAGCCTGTAAAAGAGAAATACACAGAGAATTAAAAACAAAAAGCAACCAGCAATAAACCCCACAAACTGCCCATTGGTGGTGGTGGTGACAGTGGCAACAATTACATGCCTCCATCGCCAGCTCTCCTGTATAAAATCAAATACTCAGCTAGTAATCCACTCTTGTGCTACTAGGAATAATAATGAACTTACTTTCCAACTCTATGTAGTAGTATCATCTTAACGCCTCCGCACTTTGTGAGAATAATTTTAAGGTAGGCCTGTGGAACAACCCGATTCTGCATGCACATTAATCCAATACTAGGACTATTCCTTTTATTTTCTCCTTATATGTCCTTTACTGATTTCATAATTATACAATCAAAATGCCTTTATGGCAGTATATTTATATATTATTCATTTGTCTGTGGCATTGTTGTTCCCATGATGATTTCCTTGCTTTGATTATGGTTTTGACCATTAAATTCTTGCTTCTTGCTATGTACAAAAGCACACAACACACTATCATATTTGTTATGAAGATAAATAAATAAAATCCCTTTTATAATAAACACCAGCAACCACCGTCCCACCTTTTCTAGACTGCATGCATTTTGAAAGGAAAACCCACAGTTTATACCCGAGGGAACCTGCCATAACTAATTCAGTATTATATTTTGTACTAAGGAATCTGTTTCTGAGTACAAAATGTCTCGTATAGATGACATTTAGTTGCTGTTAACATTTTCCCAAGTCCATGATTAATATCCTAAATATATTCAGTATAATTAACTATCCCTGTTGTAAAAACCCTTGATATTCTGCTTGGTTCTTTTCAGTGCAGTGCTATAAGCAGATGTTTCCAGGAATCTGCACAAGAACTTTGTGATTTCGTGGCCATAAAATATTCATGTTTTGTCTAAATATTTTACAGCCTGGTGAGAAATGTTTTGACTCCTTACCATCCTCACCCTGCCTCTAGCATGCAGTACAAGAAATACCTGAGAAATGAGGAGGAATGTGCCCATTTTGCTAGCCGTAAAGGGCATGTGCAACAGATTATGAGGAAATGAATGCATAAACCACGACAATGTAAAGTTGACGTCCTGCTGTTATTTTGCACGTAAATATTGTTAAAAGGCACTTTCCATTGAACCTGCAGTGGAACAGAGGAAATGCTTAGAATACATCTGTCCCTGGATAGAAAACCTAGAGAAAAGGCAGAGAAGGAATATTAGGTATATCATTCACACATAATGCTAAGCCAAACCAGGGATGCAATCACAACCGCTTTGCTATTTCCAGGTCCTTCTAGCTCAGCATTGACATGGCAGCTAAGCCAAACGTAGCATGCCATCCAAATGTGAGGCTGTGCTCAACCTCTCTTCTCCTAAACCATGACCTGTAGCCAAGGTTTGTCGTTGAAGAGTGTTATGCAGTGGCTGCCCCATTGCCCTACTGTTGCCACTTGGCTTGAGTCTGGTGGGATGAAATGGACAAAGCTGGAGAAATGTGTGCCAATAGGTGTGATGTCATGAT